ATAGGAGGTCCGGGGGGGAAACTGGGTGCCTTTGAGGTCACCTTGAAAAATATCTCGTAAAAAGTGAAAAAACCAGACTGGTTCAAAATAAACGCAATATTTGTTCATGGGATACAAGTCTCGACTTTTACAGTAAAAATTAGGGAAATCGGTGAAGGTCCGAAATTTGCCTTATCCGTTCTTAGGCGGACAGCCTCTTAATTCTCAAATCGCAAAACATTGTAATTTTTAGACAGTTTTGATATTGAGTTTGCTTGCATTTAGGTATTTTGAGTGGTCATTGTGGTTTTAAGGGCTTTTGATTTGACTGTCGGTATGGACTTTATTTTATTCTCAAATGATATTGCCGACAGTCTCAATGACGCCATCGTGACTAAACCATTTCCAGTTTTCGCTTCTCACCAATTAGCACTCAACGTCTTTTTCGGATTAGTAATTTTTTCCATACGATCTTGAAACGCATTTTTTACCGGTTTTGTCATTCGCCCGTCTACTTTCCGGATCTTAGGACCAATGCTCTATTTTTAGCCCCAGTTTTCCCTCAGGCGTAGTTTTGTTTTCGAAACTCTTAGGGCCGATTATTTAAACGAGGTCTAAACCAAACCGCGGTTTTATGCAAGCAGTGGGCCGTATATGTTCTCTAAAAGAGGTTTGCTTTAATTACATTAAATAAATGTCCTTCCACTGCTCTCTGCCTCCCTGACAATGTTCACAAAAATGAATCATTCAGAGAGGAGATTCGGCAAAGTTTAAGATAGTTTAGAGCGCGAGCTCTTTAAACAATGGTTTTGTTCAAATAACCAGCAACTGGAGTTTAGGAGAACGTGATGTCTGATAAGGCTCGGAATAATTATCTTTAATATGCTCATTTAGAACATTCACTGTCGTACTCAAACGTTGTTCGATTAAAAAAGGAACACACAATAGTATAACGAGGGATTTTCAATTTCACTAACAATGTCTGAAAATTAGTCCACTACAAGAAAAGATTACAATTCCAGCCATCTATTCAATCTGTTAATTCACTCTTCTGTATTGAAGGTACAAATGCACAATTACGCGTGAAAGAGAAAAAAAGAGTTGTTACTCTCGGTGCTGATGACATTACCATCGGCACTTAGTCAGTAAATACTTTTTATTTTTCGAGTCAATCACCCTAGTTTTCAATCATATATCTGTTCAAACGTCGGAGATGAAAGATACTTTAAAGTTAATTTGTCATCCATGATATATTTGTGTCAGTTTTCTCCCTCCACGACCATCCTCGTACTTTTCTATATTATACAAAGCTAGCGCTACCGGAGAAAATACAACAAAATATCGTGACGTAGGTGCGGTAGTTAATACTCCTAGCTGCTTGCATTTCACCGTCGCCCTGCTATCTAATCCGCGGTTTAAATCCACTCACCTCTATTTTTTGCGGTCACTTAGATGATCAGTAGTGTCCTTTATAAAGAAATCACGGACCTCACAGCGATCAGTTCCAGTTTTTACAAGAGATCCTCTAGATTCAATTTAGTGTTTACACTCCTTTGCAGGATCTTGGTAACAAAGCGTAGTTGATGCAATACTCAGGCTCAATCACGACAACATCATA